GACTTCCAAAGATCAAGAAAAACTTTAGCACACCCTTTACTGTGCCCAATGAAGCGTTGTAATTAACAGTAAGTGGTCAGGGTAAAGGGGAGCGGTCGGGGGACTTTTCGGGAAATCTTACCACACACTCAAGATGTATGAGGGAGCTATGTAATTCTTTTATAGTAGTATATCAGGGAGTCAGAGGGGGGTCACTTCCCAGCAAGGCTATCACAGTCCCGGAGCGAATAGCAGGCGGCCTTGCCAACATGCTAAGTGACCCAAGCTTGTTCCATGGTCGGGGGGCGTACAGTCGTGGCCTCGCCAACTCACTGAACCGACCGGAAGCGATGCTCAAAGGTCAGGGGGCTCAGACGGGTCCTGGAGCCCCACCGGGTTGGACTCCTCCACTCTGCCCCATTTAATGTCCCCTTTTTCTGCTGGTAGCATCCGTGGATGCCTCTCAGCACACACAGGCCTTCACTTCACGCAACACTGTATCAGAATATTTCATGAGAAGGCCCCAGGCCTTAGCAAACTCCCACAAAATTTTTTGTCCAGAATGTTTTTTATTTTTTTGGTGTAACCAACCAGCTATGTCTTTTGCAGGGACTTCCTCTAGCCACCATATGCAGGCTAGGGCATGCACTTGATTGTTCTCTGGGTATTGCAAATGCCTAGAAATGTGAACAATACTAATTTTTTGGACGAGCTTTTATCATAAATATCTTCCCACAATTTTTGGCCCCCTAAGAGCTTATTCCTAACATTTCATTGTTTTGATGCCACTGGAATGTCCACAATGTTAGTCCCTTGAAGACTACCCAGCTGTCAGTACACATGGCCAGTGGGCCTGGATCCTTTGACATTACCAGCTCTTTGGCTTGTAATTCTGCCCACTGACTACTTTGCCCTTCCCCAGCCTCCGTTCAGAAGGTTTCTGTTTTAGGCTGGTATGTGACAGCCCACCATCCAGAAGGCTGCCCTCAACTTGCTTGTCAGTATACTAAGCTTCCTCTGGAATGGGTGATCGCCCTTCTTTAATGGAGATGGGGTAATAGCCAGGTGTTCCATGGGTAGGTTGTTAGTGTTTACAAATGATTTCAGTCCCGGAAGTTGTAATCCCTGGCTCAAGGGACTTGTGGTGAGCTTACTGTGCTCTGTGAGTAGGCTCTCCATTTGGTCATGGTGACTGAGCAGCTGAGCTGTGAGGTTTGTGTGAGATGTTGTGGCTCACCCTACTAGAGGTGAATTAGCATGTACAGTCGCTGATCTTACTCCATGACTGGCACCATCACCACAAGAGCTTGATAGATGGCACTGACCTGTTATTTGATGGGGCTCACGGTGGGCTTTGGTATCTTTCCATATCTGATATCAAATGTCAATGGGAAGTCGAGCTTTTCACTGTTGCTACCAAAGCCTCCAAGCATATCCTTCCGGGATACACTTTACATTCAGTTCACAGGGAAGAGTTTCATTTAAAATACCCAGCACCTTGACTGTGCCCAGGCACTTTCGGCAGCACTGAATGCCTGTTGGTACTCCCCTGTTGAGTCCCATGGGGATCCTTTTTTGTACAAAGGGCACATATCTCTGCTGAGTGGGGGAATAAACACTCTAATACCCTAATAATGGGGCCAGTGGTTGGCTTGGTGGTTGGGGGCGCTGGACTCCCATGTGGCCAACTGCGGTTCAAGTCCCAGACCTGGCCGATTGCTTTCTCTCTCTCTCTCTCTGTCCCTCTCTGGTCAAATTAAAACAAATAAATATATGGATACATGAAATTAAATAAAATTATTCTTGAAAAAAAATATACTAATAGGCCCAGTTATTCCTGTAACTGTTTAGAGGTATCGGGGTGTGGAAAAGCTTGCATTTTACTGATTAACAGTGGACAGCATTATTTTTTATCTTACTAGACCAGATAACTCCCAGGAATTTGACACACAAACCAGGTCTTTGCAGCTTGTTTTGATTTACCACCTATCATGTCCCCTGTAAATGTTCAACCAGCTGAAGCATAGCTTGCTCAAAGTCTAACAGAGTCATAAATTAGCAGAGTGTCGTCAGCACAGTGAAGGAGAGGTACTGAGGCGGACCACCTCCAGCTTTCCAGATTTGGGCAATTATTCTATGGCACGATATGGGGCTGTGTAATTACCCCTGCGAGAGTGTGTTTAAAGTCCTTTGCTTTCTATCTCAGGAAAATGTGGATTGATCTTCACAATCTGTATGAACATCAATGTTAAAAGAAAGCACTAGCCAAATCTACAACAAAACAGTATGTGGCCACTTGGTCCAGGATGTCAGCAATGTTGGGAACAGCAGCATGGAGAGAGGGTCTAACTTTATTTAATTCCCGGTAATTGACAGTCTCTTCCAAGAGCCATCCGGCTTTTTTTTTTTTTTTTTTAGAGAGATTTTTGCTATAGGGCACGTGCAGTTGCTGGAGAGACAGAGACAGAAAGATGAAAAGTGAGAAATCGCCCCCTGTGGGGGTGTGTATGTGACCAATTTACAATCTCTCCTCCTCCTTGGATTTTGGGCATGCATACAAACGTACCCGGTGTAAGTTTTAAGCTGCTGGGTACAGGACTTTGAACTATGAATGGCCACACAGGAGTCAAGCACCTTCACCACTATGCCACCTGCTGGTCCTGCCATCTGGCTTTTTTACTGGCCATACCAAAGGGTCATAAAGGCTGGGGGCTGGGCAGATTATGTTAACCATTTTAAAAAAAAATATTTTTAATTTTTGCTATGGATGCTTGTGTTTGCTGGAGAGGAGAGAGAGAGAGACAGAGACAGAGACAGAGACAGAGAGAGAGAGAGAGAGAGAAGGAAGGAAAGGGAGCGCAAA